TTTTAATACTGTTGATGTATCACCTCTTGAATGAGGTCCCAAAATACACTTGTGTCATATGGAATTCCATCCTTCAGGAAATATTCCACTACACCTAATTTGGGGAATTTGAAATAAAAATATAAGTAGATGTTTTGTCATCATTTAAAAGATTTTAGCTTTTGCTTTTAATTTCAGTTTTTCAGCCTACACACAAAAATTTTTGTACTGGTTGTGAGGTGATAAAAGAGCTTTTTGGGACAGCAAAGTAAATGTTCAGTTGAAAAACTAATCTTTAAATGTATCCATTTAAGATCAGTATGTCTCCTCATGAAGAAGTTTTAAAATTGTATTTGCTTCTAAAATTTTAGCCATGTGCTACATGCTGTATTTTAGATTCATATCATTTAGATTGGTAGAGAAAATCCCAACCAGAATGTTTGAAAGGTCGTCTGCTTTACGTTTGGCAAGAATAAATGGCATTCATTTCATTGAAAAAGGAGATGATGCCATGTTTCTGACTTGGCCCCCACTTCCTTTCAAAGCAGAAGCCTCTTTTTGATATCTTTTTATTGTATATATCATATTTTTTATTTTTAGGGCTGTTTGGTTTTTATCTAAGTTTGTTATCTGTGATGGGAAGCAGAAAACTTGATAGAAGTGGAAATTTCTCTTCACTATATTCCAGTATAGTTGTCTGCAGTTGTACTAAATGTTGAGTTAATTATGCCATCTTGAAAATTTTGCACCCATTATTAATTTTCATAAAACCTGACATTTTAGTGGCATTATCATTCATTTTTGTCATTAAGCTTTTAAGCCCTTCAGGAAAAAAACTCTTTAAAATATTTAAATTATAAAGTATTTAGGAATAATTGGAAATTATATGTAATCAGCACCTACACATATAAAAAAATCTGAGCTGTTTAGATTTTAGAGATAACACCGAAAGAAGCAATAACTTTATAAAATATGTTTCTTTATATAAAATTCAATAATATAATTTTGTATGACCATACCAATTTTTAAAATTTAACATTATAGCTATAAATCAAAGGTTAAATGATTTGTGCAGTCCTCACCATGAACTGATGGCCTAATTCTGTTCTTTGTCCACACAGTCTGAATCTTTCATTCCCTTTCGACCAGAACTGAAACTCTCCTTGACATCACCTAAGGATTTCCCACATGTTCTTTCTCTGCTGTTTGATGACCTACTATTTATACCCTTGGTTCTCAAGTTTATTATCACAAAGAAATTGCAGCAAGTTTCCTCATGGTTAACATTCCAGAAGAAAAATAACCCACTGCTTTTCCCTAGGAACAGAAACTTGGGATCATGGAGTCAAAGGAACCTAATGGTTGGTTCTTTGGCACAGAGCAACTGAGGCTCAAAGACAATAATTTTGTCGAGAGAGCAACCAAAAAAGAGGCCACTGAGGCTCAAAGACAATCATTTTGTCGAGAGAGCAACCAAAAAAGAGGCCAGCCAGGTCTGTGTATGAGACACTGATCATTTGCTGATTTCTGAACATGATTTACCCCTGAGTATTAATTCCTGCATGTTTTATTGGATTCATGTAATATGCTCACAGCCTTCAAACTTTGATGTCTTTAAACACACTATATATTGACTGTGATTTATATAGCACATAGCAATTGTGCTGCACTTCCAAAGGACTGTTTACCTAGTTAGTGTTGGTTTTCAAATGAAGTTTATATTTTAAACTGGAAAAGATTTCCTTTTCTTTAGCTAGAATTAACTGTTACCTCTTGTTGTACTTGGGTGGCAACATGGTTGTAGAATCAAGGAATCCTAGTTCCTTCCCTTCCCTCTTTAACAGCTGCCCAAAAATGGCCCAAAAATGTTATGTTTCACCTTTAAAGAAAACATGGACAAGGCCATACTTAATTTGAGACTTTTATCATGCCATTTAGTTTAAATTAGACTGGTATATGGGACATTGACTAATAGAAAAAAATACAATTATTTTGTTAATTAGCTTCAAGATAATGTGAACAACTATACATGGCTCTAAAATACACAAATTTAGGATGCAAATGTGTTGGCATAGTATTTGGAACATACTGGAAACATACATACAGGAAAGTGGAATTTGTTTTTGAAAGAAAAAATTCCTACTTCTTATTCCCTCATTATTATTGTCCTGGTTTCTATTTCTGAACCTGAAGATTGTTTTCACAGTGGGAATTCTTGTCACCATCACTAAGCAGCGGCAGAAGCAGCAAGCTCAACGCCATCCCGAATCTGCCTTCCTATTTATTCTCCCCAGTGTCTTTCCATACGTCCAGCAGGCAATGCTCTGGCCACATAAGCTAAGAGCCATACTCTGTTAGAATATTAGGACTCTTTTGGCTTAAATCCATAGTTTAAAAATTTCTAAATATGACTTTCTAAATATGCAGATGATCATCACAAAAGAAATTTTCTCAGGATCAATAAAATTCCAATTATTTTTATTATGTTGGTTTTTCTTACCTATAATTCATCAATGAAAAATACTTGTGTCTCTTTCCCTCACTCCTTCCCTAATTCCTCCCTTCCTCCCTAATTCCTCCCTCCCTTCCTCCCTTCTTTCCTTCCTCCCTTCCCTCCTTCCCTCCTTCCTTCCCTCCCTCCTTCCTTCCCTCCTTCCTTCCTTCCCTCCTTCCCTCCTTCCCTCCTTCCCTCCTTCCTCCTTCCTCCTTCCCTCCCTCCTTCCTTTTTTGGGATAGATAGTCTTATAGCTCTTAGATTTTCTGAAATACCCCTATAATCATGATCCTCTGATACCTACTGGATGTGGATTTGCATCTCTCAGTCCCATCTCCCCATCTTCCTAATCATGTTTTCCTCAGAATGATCCCTAGTCCTCTTGCATGGAAGTCTGAAAATGCAGGAGCCTGCACTTTAAACACACACCTCCAGTGATTCTGTTGCTCATCAAGGTTTGAGATCCACTCTCTAGTGTCTATGCGACTTCTCTGTGCTGCCTGTCCCCACCATTCTCTGGCAAGTTCCCCCAGACCCTCCTCACATGCTCTTTAAATTCTCTGGATTACTGTAACAGCGTCCACTTTTGCCTGTTCAGCTGCAGCCACATTCACACAGTTCCTTGCCCACCCACAGCTCTTCCCAACACTGGGTCATGCCCCATTCGCATCCCCATAGTGGGAGTCCCACATCTCTTCTCCTTCCTGTAATTAAAGTACAAGGAGTTTTAACTTCTTGTGGGAGCGGAGAGGGAGTATGACTTGCTCTTAAGCTTTTTATTTCTTACCTGATTTTCGCCAGCTACTTTAAAACTCACTCTGTCTACTCTTTAGACAGAATAGTGTGACTTACAAAAGGAGAAGACAGACTACTCTTCAGCTTTTTAGCAAGAGAAGGACTTTTTCAGTGGGCTAATGTTTCTTTGCTGAAAATAATTTGAAAAATGAGTTGGTTGCTTAACCTCTAACCCAGAGAAGTTCTTTATATACCACTGTTGGTATAAAGAACCCAGAAGACCTCCTGTGACCTGCTAGGAGTAGATTTCTTTGGAATTTAGTACCCAGAGAATAATGCAGCTTGCATCTTAGATATGTTATTGGATTTCTTTTGTTTTATATAAATAGACGGATTCAGTTCAAATGTATAATCTCATTCTCTCAGTTCAAATATATAATCTCTCTCTCTCTCTCTCTCTCTCTCTCTCTCTCTCTCTCTCTCTCTCTCTCCCCACACACACACACCCTTCCTTCCCTCCCTCTCCCTCCCTCTCTCTCCCTCCCCTTAGAACTGGTACCTATGCAATAGCCCTTTCAATGTTCTGCCCACAGAATAATTATTTTACACATTTGACTATATTATGAGCTCATATTAAGGACTAGAATTTTTTGTTAGAAAACCTTGGGTCATTGGGCTCAGACAAACCAAGATTAAAATCCGTCTTCACCACTTCCTCAGGAAAGTGCTATAGCCTCTGTCTGCATTTCTTATCTAGCATACGTGAAGTGCCTGGCAGGTTGCCTTGTGATTCCCTTTATTGTGTATCCTTAGTCCTTGCCCTGCGCCTTACATGTCACAGGGAGACAGTGAAAGGTCAAGGTGAGAACAAATAAAACCAATATATGCTTCAAATTAGTTGATTAGCAAAATCCACTCTGGTGGATTAGCAAAGATCAGTCATTTCTAAGTTAATAATACAGAAATGTTTAAAAGAACACCCTGACCAACATGGTGAAACCCCTTCTCTACTAAAAATACAAAAATTAGCCAGGCGTGGTAGGGGCGTGCCTATAATCCCAGCTACTTGGGAGGCTGAGGCAGGAGAATTGCTTGAACCCAGGAGGCAGAGGTTGCAGTGAGCCAAGATCGCACCACTGCACGCTCATCTAGGTGACAGAGTGAGACTGTCTCAAAAAGAAAAAACATGTTTTGAAAAAACAGATGTGTTATGCAGCAAATCAAATAAATAATAATGGGATTGATATTGATTGTCTCAGTCACTTTTTTGGATTCTGAGTTTTTAATTTTTAACTTAGTATTTCCATTGTTCAATGTATCACCTTTTTGCCTGTTTGTTTGTTTTTTTAAAGAGCTTCACTAATAAAACATTTTGTATGTCCCTGTGAACTTTTATTGAGCTAGAGATATTTTAAGAAGAGTAAGATAAGGGGGAATGGTGTTGTCTAATTTTTTAAATAGATTTGTAGAATATGAGATTTTTAGATAGCAGCCATGTAAGCAGCTACACTTGTTTCTTTAAATGTTTCCCTGTTTATACCTTATTTATATTATTTTTTATCCTCTCAACTCCGTTTCGTCTTCAAGTCCCCAATCCTTCTCAAGGCAGCCTGTTCTGTAACAGTCTCTGGCCCTAGGCTCATACCCTCTGAAGTTTCTGAAAGCTTTTTACTTAAGACCTAGAGTAGCCGTTTTGTCTAAGTTCAGCATTCCCTTCTTCTGTTCTTCCAGACTTACATTATGTGAGTTGGAATTAAGCCCAATATAGCAGTTCCTGTCATTGCCCCATTACCTTACAGGTGATCAAATGTTCAGCAAGGCACCATGAACAGTCTGTCCCTAGCAGAATGAGGCTTCCATGCAGATAGATACCTTGATGTTAGAAAAATCCTTCATTATTGTTGTTACACCTTATGCCAGTTTTGAAATGCCATAAAAAAGCATTGTGAAGACCCCACATGTAGTGAAGCAATTGTAATATGTGGTCCTGCATTAACAGCACTTCCATTTTTCCTCCCAGTTTCTTTTCCCATGCATCTTGCAGTCCATGGAGTCATATTTCTTGTTTGTAGAGAGCTACACCCTACCTCCCCATCTTGTGTCTCTTCCCTTTCCTAGAATTCCAGTCATGGATCCCATTCTGCAAGACTCAGTGATACTTATGAGAATATGGTGCCTCCTGATTGCCAGAAACATAATGAATATTAATTATTCCTGTTTGGAAATCCAGAATTCTTGCCAAAGTCCAGTATTAAAACTTAGAAAAGCCAAGGGCATCAGTCTTCTCATTAGGGCCCCAACCAGTGGATCTGAGTCATGCAGTACACTCTAGGGAGTCTCCCAGATGTGAAGAGTGGGGAAAGTATGTGTGTGGCATTGGGGCGGAGGGGGCTTATTCAGTTAACCAAGTTGGGATGTTCTCAGGTACTGACATAAGAAAAAGAGAAGATGGAGAAAAGGGGAGCAGTCTATGCTTTAGTTTCTTAGAGAGTGGAATGAATCTTACCAGTTACTGTACTTTCCCAAAACCAGTGAAGCTCTCATACCTTATTAGTATAACAGGAAGTAGGACCACAGCTCCTGTTAGGTAGTAAAAAGAATCACAAAAGTAAAAAGACTAAATTAGCCATTTATTGTATTTATCATGTGTGTGTCAGCTTTTTCTTGATATTTAAAGACACTAGGGAATAAAGTTGTTGTCAATCACCATATAAAGAGTTGCTTTGAAATGGTGTTGCATAGAAAGGGAATTAGAAATGGGAATGCGTAGCTGAAGAGTAAAATTGTGCAAAAGAATGCAGAAAATGTCTTGTAAAATTTACAACAGTTCCAAATTATTTATAATAGCAAAAGCTTTCAAACAATGCACTGTCCTTCAGTAGGGACCAGTTAAATAAACGCTGGTTCATCTACACAATGGAGTCTCTGTAGCTGTCACAGAAAAGAGTTGAGGAGGAGCTCTATACACTGACATGGAGTGATCTCCACTATGCAATTAGGTGAGAAAAAAAAGAAAACAACCAACATGCAGGACACTGTCCATAGTATGCTACTTTTTTCTATCAGAAAGGAAGATTATGAATAATATGTACACATATGATTATATTTGCAAAGAGAAACAATACAATAGAAAACTAAGAAGAACATGTAAGGGGAAGAAGGATCAAGGTAGAGAAGACCATAAAGGAGGCAAGACTTACCTGAATTCACCTTGATAGGTGGTTTAACTTTGGAATCATGTAACGTTTTGACATAATCCATAAATCAAGTTTTATCCAAAAAGAGCACTACCCCCCACCACACACATGTAAACTGAGAAAAAAGAAACACATGAGCTAAATTGTACATTGTCAGTAAGATAACCACAGAGAGAAAAGAATTATTCCCGCTGACCCTAGAACATCATATTTTTTTACTGAACATTCTCAATTACATATACTCTAAGGACGAAAAAATGTTAAGAATGTTTAAATTGGATTCAGCAGTCTCACTATTAGCAGTTATACTGGTGTGATTAGGAATTAAGAGTTTTCCACCTAATGGGAAAAAAAGCATAAAATTTTGAAATTAATGTGAAAACACTGTACACTAAATTTCAGTTAGAGGATCTACAGATCTTGCAGAAATTATTTTGAATAGCAGTAGGGAACATTTATGATATAAATTCTGGGGTAGAGTTGTAACATAAATGCGGAGTTAGAGTTCAGGGTCTGTCTCCACCCCACTCCCTGTACTGTGGGCTTGGTCTCTGACCTCAGATTGACCCTTTCTGTGACAGGAAATACATTACATTCTTTCTCTCCCTGGTCTCCACTGTATCCTCAGTGGAGCTGAGATAACCTTCCTAGAGTCAAGTCTAGGTGCTGGTCCCTTTTTTCTGCTTCCTTGCAGCCTCCCATCTCTGAAGCTTGCTGAGCTTCCCTTCTCTAAAATAAGAATAACAATGATCATAGGTGCCCTGCTTCCCTTCAAAACAATGAGAAACAATTGCTGACTTCAAAGATGCCTTCTGCCTTGTTGATGCTGTAGTTTTTCGGTGTTTTGTCCCCATTATTACATTCTTAAATGGACATATCTAGGAATTTCACTGGAGGTTGGAATTATTTTAGCTTTATCTAGAGAAATAAATATTTCCAGTTCATTACCACAGATTGGTTCATTACCACAGACTTAGGGGGTAATATACTTTGTCTTTTTTATTTCTTTCAGCCATGGAATTCCATGAACACTTGCACAGCATAGGCACCAAGGAAGGTTTGAAGGAGAGAAAACTACAAAAAGCAGTGGAGAGCTTTACCTGGAATATTACCATCTTAAAGGTATCTACAGGGTTGTTTCGGATGCTGGTGATTTTGCAGTCTTTTTCAGCATGCTTCTTCCTCTTAGTATAACATTTTCTGCACTGTACATGATCAGCCACTGAGATTGTAGAATGGACACAGAAATCACAAGAAGAACTCTGCCCTCCTAGAGTCTCCAGGCACAACAGCTTGGCATTGTGGATCAGATGAAGGTCAGGGGAACTTCTGTGATTGGCACATTGTAGGTTCTGATAGAAAGACAAAGGACTTTGTAATTTTATCCTTGAGACATTCTAAAGTTCATAAATGCCAGTTGCTATATAGAAACGAGAAAATATTGATTACAGAGGAATGATTGGGAATTTAAAGATTCCAGTTACTCAAATTTTATTTAAGACTTTAAAGTATAATTATAGCTATAATGTTTATATCATCCCAGAAATAAATAGAAAAGAATTGTATGGAGCATTATCAGAGGAAATACATAAAAGAATTACTATCGAAAGAAATAGTTCTTCAAGGGAAATGCCACATCTATGCATATCTATCTTGGCATAACAGTTTTTTAAAATTAACTTTTTAATTTTTCATTATAAAATATTTTCATTACGAAAAATGTCAAGAGTAATAAAGGTAAACACAATCCCATCAATTACTGTTGGCCTTTTGCTGTGTATTCTCTCAGGCTGTTTTTATATTTTATATATAATGACATAATTTTAAAAATAATGCTGTGTATGTACCTCAAAACTCTTTTGAGCTTTACCTCAATAATTCTTCTCAGTGTTATTCACAGAGTGTAAATAATAATAACACAGAAGTTCTTTCATTCCAGATCTTGGACAAGTAATAAATGTAAAATTACTCCCTGGTGTTTGCCTTCCAAACTTTATGCTCAGCTGAATTTGTAGGGAAGAAGGGAAGGCTTCCCCTTCACCCTCTGAAGCTGCCCTGAAATGAACAGACAATAGATTAGCAGGTGTAAAAAGGCCTACATATTATATTTATTTAAGGTGCAGAAGCATGGAGAGTGGCAGAAGGATAATTACCTAACAACCCAGTGCAATCCTGATGCCTACAAACCCTTCTTCATAGTGGAGGGACATTGGGGGAAATGTGTCCATTTTTGGGGGGTAGCAAATGAATTTCAGGGGAAATGAATGGGCTCAGGGCTTAGACAATGGGAGAGTAAATTATTCTCTTTGGGAATTGAATGGTCTGAGAATTAAAAATAGTTTGGGAGGAAGTTCTGTGCTGTAGATGTGGTGTTTAATTTCCAATCTCTTCCTCTGTGATGTGAACTTTACTCTTCTCTGGTTAATGAAATTTCAGAGAGAGATCAGAGGCATTTGTGGACCTCCTTGGTGGGCCCAGTTTCTAGTTAATAAGGGAAGTTGAACAGCCTCATCTTTGGGAGAGAGAGGACTGAGATAGGTGGTGGGTGTGGTCAGAGGAACCTAGAGCCTGCTTCTTTAGCTAAGTATGTCAAAGTGGCATCTTTTCAGGTATTGTTTTCTGAGCCCCAACAGATTCAAGACCGTTAAGACGTTATCACAGCTGCCTTTTTAAATTTCCTCCTAACCCATCAAGTTAAAAGCTCCATCCCTGGAGCTGACAACAATTTTCAGATGTGATGTAATAAAAGCTATCTTTCAAAGCTAGTCGCTACTTGCATTTTTCTCACGTTAAACCTCTACTCATTTTTATAATTAAAGTCATTTTCTTGACTTCTACAGACATTTCCTTTTTACACATGTACTTTTCGTACATACCTATTTTGCTTAGAATTTAACTCTGTTCGTAGTTCAGTAAACAGCAGACATAAGAATTTACAATAAAAAAGGGATCTAGCTTTACAATTTGCTGACTCACTCCTGGTCAGAGGTGAGGGGTATACTACAAATTTCCTGTAAACCTCAGGAAAATATAGCACAGCAGTTTAAGCCCTGTGGTAGGAACAAATGCTCACTTTGCTTTAATTTTATTAGAGGCAAATAATAGACATAGGGACCAACTTTGGCCTGTCAAGTACCCTTGCTACTCTTGTGTGGTCCAGGAACCAGCAGCCTGGGCCTCATGCTGGAACTTGTTAGAAACTCAGAATCTCAAGTCCCACCCCAGTCCTGCTGAATCAGAACCTGCATTTTCACAAGATCCCCAGGTGACTCTTAGGCACATTGAAGTTTGAGAAGCACTGGGCCGAGAGCCACCAAAAATGGGATCCTGGTGCACATATTAATGAAAAACAGCTGACATAAAGCAGTGTGCCATATTTTAGAAGTAATTGGACCAAATAGATACACTGAAGAAACCTACTTTCTTTTGAATTGTGTCCAGAAGAGAGAATTAACACCTCAGACTTATGTTCATATGGAAGTAAATGTGTAGGATGGGGTAATAGGTCTTTTTTTAATTTCCAGGATAATATTTGCTACAGATGGTGTTTGAGGATGGTAGAACGTAAGTGAGGAATGAGGAAGAATTGGAGAGATCTGTGTGTCATTTTTGTAGAATGGAAGGGCTGTTTTCATTCCTGCATTTCACTGGCTTAAACTTTATTTTAGAAGAATGAGTGCTCATAGGGAATCTTGAACTCACGTGAATTTAGGTCTGAGTTGAGCTACCAGTGTTTTCCTGGCGGGAGAGCATGGGGTCTGTTGAGTTCCTCCCATCACTTTTTCTGTGCTGTGAGCTTGGAGAGGTGGCAGCCCTCCAGGCAGATGGCCGGCAGTAAACACAGCAGGAGGCTCCCCATGGCACAAAAGCGTACAGAGGGTTTTAGGTGACCTCGGAAATGCAGGGAGGAGGAGGTGAAGGAGGAAGCCAGGAAGACAGGCTGAAGGAGCTCTGAAACAGGCCAAGGCTTGAGAATTACCTGGGATGCTTAAAAATGCCCTCTCCTAAGCTTCACCCCAGACTTCCAGAATAGAATCTCCAGGCTTGGGTCCCAGGAATCTGCTTATTTAACAAGTTTCTTGGAGGATTCTGAGACACACTAAAAAAACCTTATTACTCTTGACCTGGAATCAAAAGTGTCTTTCCTGATGCATCACCACAGTCATTTGAACCATAAGGAGGAGGGTGGCCAGCCCTCCCAGGAGCAGGGATACAGTGCAAAAACAGAACAGTCCCGGGCAAACTGGGACCATTGATCACCCTGAGAGGAGTTTCTGCCAATAAAAAACTCCTTCATTGAAGGATGTCTGTCCCAGTTTTTATGAATATTTACTTGCTTTGTTTAGCTTTTTTTTTTTATTTTGAAGGTTCTTTTAAAATTCATAAATGAACAAAGAAGAAATAAAGTCATCTATAAGTGTCACACCCAGAATTATCTATTAACATCTTGGCATACTTCTGGTCATTTTTTTCTTGAATAAAAAAAGCATTCATTTGTTGTTATAATTCTATCTTTTTGTAAATACAAAAATGTTTATAAATGACCCAAGATTCTCCCTCTGAGAAATAACCATTATTAGACATAGGTGACCTTATTCCAGGAAGCTTTCTATATGAATATGTCTGGATAGATGGATCAGTATATATTTTATTGATTCTAAGTCATACTTTTTTTTCACACTTTCGATATCTTTGAAATTAGCATATATCTTATAGTCCATGGCATCTTTGCATTATATCCTCGTTAAATTGGCTATGATTCTTCTTTCTTAGTGCTACATAAAGTACTGGTACATCTCACAAGCACTAGTGTCTCAGATATTATGAAATAAGGTACGTCAGTAGATAGAATTCTTTTTTTCTTTTTTGAGATGGAGTCTCACTCTGTCACTCAGGCTGGAGTGCAGTGGTACAACCTCAGTTCACTGCAATCTCTGCCTCCTGGGTTCAAGTGATTCTTCTGCCCCAGCCTCCCAAACAGCTGAGACTATAGGTGTGCACCACCATGCCTGGCTAATTTTTGTATGTTTAGGAGAGACAGGGTTTCACCATCTTGGCCAGTCTCGTCTCAAACTCCTGACCTCATGTAATCTGCCCACCTCCGCCTCCCAAAGTGCTGGGATGACATGCATGAGCCATCATTCCTGGCTGATAGATTTCTGATACAATTGTTCTTTACATTTTTGTTAAGTATTAAATTTCATTTTACTTAATTAAGCAGAAGAAAACTAAACCATAAAGATGCTAAATGAATTGGTGAGCAATTTCTACCATAACAGATTTATTTCCATTTCCTAAAAGATCCCTTTGAGGTTAAGAAAAGGGATTATGAAAAATGTTAACAGAGGTCATTTTGTCAGGTGTTTTGAAAGCTACATGTTTCAGCTGTAAGTATTGTCAGTTGACCTGCTATCAAAGGTGATGATATGGGCTGGGTGCAGTGGCTCATGCCTGTAATCCCAGCACTTTGGGAGGCTGAGGCACGTGGATCCCTGAGGAGTTTGAGACCAGCCTGGCCAACATGGTGAAACACTGTCTCTCCCAAAAATACAAAAATTAGCTGGGCATGGTGGTGGGCACCTGTAATCCCAGCTACTAGAGAGGCTGAGGCAGGAGAATCGCTTGAACCCAGGAGGCAGAGGTGGCAGTAAGCTGAGATCATGCCACTGCACTCCAGCCTGGGTGACAAAGCGAGACTCTGTCTCAAAAAAAAAAAAAAGAATATGACAATATGAGCATTCTTTAATATTGCTAGACGGAGCATATTGTTATTTTTTATTGTCCATGTTAAAAATATTTATATTTGGTCTCAAAACTATAATTTATAATTGCCGTGTCACTTGGATGAAGTTAAATAGTTAAATTGGTTCACTGTCACCACCAGTCTGAGAAGTCACCCATGCTTTCCTGCAGACCATGGGAATAGCAGGGAAAATAGATAAAGCCAGCAGGTGTCATTGCCAGGTTTCTTATGATACTTGGACCCAGCCTTCTCTTCTCAGAGTTTATAAAATGTCCTGTTCTAGGGTTTCTGCCGCAAACTTGGGAGAGGGTATAATCCATTCCCACAGGCCTCCAATTGCTTCTTTGATTTAGAAGCCAACTTTCAAACCTCACTCCCATTAGATAGTCAGCGGCATCCTTTTTTTGTGTCAACTTTGAGACATAATGTATGTGAAATAAAATTCACCAATTTTGAGCGCACAATTTTATGAGTTTTGACAAATGCATATAAAGACATATCTTGGAGACTGCTTGTTCAGTTCCAGACCATGGCAATGAGGCAAATATCACAATAAAAGGAGTCACATGATTTTTTTGGTTTCCCAGTAGATATAAAAGTTATATTTACACTATAATATAGTCTGTTAAGTGTACAGTAGCATTATGTCTAAAAAACAACATATATAGCTTAATTTAAAAATACTTTATAGCTAAAAAATGCTAATAATCATTTAGGCCCTCAGTGAGTTGTAATTCTTTTGCTGGTGGAGGGTCTCGCCCCCGTGTTAATGGAAGATGACTGATTAGGGTGGTGGTTGCTGAAGGCTATGGTGGCTTTTGGCAATTTCTTAAAATAAGACAATGGAGCTTGCTACATTGATAGACTCTTCCTTTCCTCACAGATTTCTCTGTAGCATGCAATGCTGTTCCGAAGCATTTTACCCACAGTAGACCTTCTTTGAAAATTAGTCTTCTCAAACCCTGCCATTCTTTTATCAACTAAGTGTAAGTAATATTCTAACTCATTTGCTGTAATTACACCAATGTTCACAGCACCTTCACCAGGAGTAGATTCTATCTCAAGAAACCAGTTTCTTTGCTCATTCATAAGAAGGAACTCCTCATGCATTACAGTTTTGTAATGCAGATGAGATTGCAGCAATTCAGTCACCTCTTCAGGCTCTGTTTCTAATTCTAGTTCTGTAGCTATTTTCATCCCACCTGCAGTTGCTTTCCCCACTGAGGTCGTGAACCCCTCCAAGTCATCCATGAGGGTTGGGATCAACTTCCCCCAAAATCAGCTTTTTCTAAACTCCCGTTAATGTTGATATTCTGACCTCCTCCCGTGAATCAAGAATGTTATTAATGGCAGCTAGAATGGTGAATCCCTTCCAGAAGGTCTTCAATTTACTTTATCCAGATTCATCAGAGGAATCACTTTCTCTGGTAGTTATGGCCTTATTAAAGGTATTTCTTAAATAATAAGACTTGAAAGTCAAAATTACTCTTTGATCCATGGGCTACAGAATGGCTATCATATTAGTAGGCATGTAAACAATATCAATATCCTTGTGCATCCCTATCAGAGTGCTTGGGTGACCAGGTACATTTTTGATAAGCAGTCATATTGTGAAAAGAATCTTTTTTACTGAGCAGTAGGTCCCAACTGAGGGCTTAAAATATTCAGGAAACCATGCTGTAAACACATACGTTGTCTTCTAGGCTTTATTGTTCTATTTATAGGGCACAGACAGAGTAAATTTAGCATAATTCTTAAGGGCCCTAGGATTTTCAGAATGGTCAGTGAGCATCAGCTGCTACTTAGCACCACCAGCTGCATTATTCCCTAACAAGAAAATCAACCTGTCCTTTGAACCCTTGAAGCCAAGCCTTGACTTCTCCTTTTGAGCCATGAAAGTTCTAGATGGCATCTTCTTTCATAAGAAGCCTATTTCATCTACACTGAAAATCTGCTATATAGTGTAGCCACCTTCATCAGTAATCTTGGCTAAATCTTCTGGGTAACTCACTGCACCTTCTGCATCAGCACTTACTGCTTCTCATTGCACTTTGATGTGATGGAGATGGCTTATTTCCTTAAACCTTATGACCCAAACGCTGCTAGCCTCCAACTTTTCTTCTGCAACTTTCTTACCTTTCTCAGCCTTCATAGAATTGAAGAGAGTTAGGCCTTGCCCTGGATTAGGCTTTGGTTTAAGAGAATGTTGTGGCTGGATTGATTTTCTATTCAGACTACTCAAACTTTCTCCATATCAGCAATAAGACTGTTTTCTTTCTCATGATTCATGAGTTCAGCAGAATAGCACTTTAAATTTCCTTCACAAACTTTTCCTTTGCATTAACAACTTGGATAAATGTTTGCTGCAAGAGGCCTAGCTTTTCGCTCATCTCATCTTTTGACTGAACTTGGCCTTCCTCAGTAAGCTTCATTATTTCTAGTTTTTTATTTCAAGTGCAACTCTTCTTTTCACTTGAACACTTGGAGGCCTTTGTAGGGTTATTTCTTTTTGGCCTAATTTTCGTATTGTTATGTCTCAGGGAATTTTTATGTCATTAAGGAGGCCTGAAGAGACAGAGAGAGATGGAGAGCAGCCCGTGGAGCAATCAGAACACATACAACATTTACTAATTAAGTTTGCTCTCTTATAAGGGCATACTTTATGGTACCCCAAACAATTATAATAGTAACATCAAAGACCACCAATCACAACTCACCATAACTCATATAATAATAATGGAAAAGTTTGAAATATTGCAAGAATCACCAAAATGTGACACAGGACACAAAGTGAGCACATGCTTTTGGAAAACTGATATCGTAGACTTGCATGATGCAAGGTTGCTACAAACCTTTAATTTGTAAAAAATGCAGTATCTGTGAAGTGCAATAAAATAAAGTATGCCTGGACTCATGCAACCCCAGCACAATGATAGGGCACTGCTGTCACCCTGCTCCCCCCACCTGCATTGTGCCCCTTTGTAGTAACATCCTTTATGTTGGCATCCACTTATCTCATTTCTGTCTGTATAGTTTCACCTGTCATATAAATGGAATGTCATATAAATGGAATTGCATGGCATACAATCTTTTCTGCCTGGCTTCTTTCATGTAGCATAGTGCTTTCATGTAGCAAGTTAATGTAGGTTTCAGTACTCCATTCCTTTTTATTGCTAAATAGTATTCTGTTTTATGGACATAACACATC